GGGGGTTGGGATGGGGACAGGGCATACGCCCGGGGGTCCGTGTGTCTCTGCGGGCTGCAGTTTAGGCAGAGGTTTGCACCTTGGGTGCTGGCTGCATCCCGTGTCGGGCTGTCAGCCGTCTCCTAAACTTCAGAGGGAGCTTAGCTGAAAGGAGAGGAGGGAGGGATGAGAAGGCAGCTCGGCTGATAAGATGCTGCTTGACAAATACAGCGTGGAAACAGATGCTACCGGCTGCAGATGTAATGAGATACATGAATACCGAGACTTGCTCAAATAAACGCCGGCATCCACCATAAGGACGAGCTCGGGAACTCCCGACAACGCTAACGGTGCACCAGCAGCAAGCACAGAGCAGGCTGATTTGGGGGGCGGGGAGGAGAGGCCCTGCCTCTGTGAGAGCATTTTATTCAGGAAGGTGGCATATTAACGGTGTGCCACGTTTATTCCCTGCAGCGATGCCTGCGGCCAGGGCTGTGCCTGCAGCACCCAGCAGTGACCGTCCCTGCAGCCCGGGCTCCGGTGCAGGTGAAGGTGCCTGCATTCAGGGCTGGCTGCCTGCCACCAGGTCTGTTTTGGGGGGTATTTTCTAAGTGCCTAAAAGTGGTGATACGCCCCGTGTACTTTGAGAACTGCCCTTTCATCCCAGCACAGCTCAACACAACAAGGCCCTGTTTTCATGTATGCTTTGATTGTAAATCCCTCTGGAGTCTTGGGGATAGTAAAAAACCTGTGTCCTGGGAGGGACCTTGCTGAGCCAAGGTGGCAGGAGGCTCCTCAGCACATCTCGGGGAGCAAATAACCCAGGGACCATTTACCCCTTGTAGAAATGAAGCAGTCCTGCCGTCTTTCCGACCACGGCCAAGGGAACGGAACCACGGTTATCCCAGTGGGTGATGCACTCATCCTGCATGGTTTGCAGGGGTTCAGTGGGGACAGAAGAGCAGAGCCAGAAGAAAACCCAAGGCCCCTGACTCCACTGCAGTTGCTTTGCGAGGGTGCAGGTGTCCTCTGGAAGATGACAGTTGTGTTGTAGATCCCCCCAAATAACACTTAGATTTTCCTGTTATCTTTACCCAGAGGATGGGTAGGGATGGGAGACACCCGCGGTCTTCGTTGTCGCCTCCCAGGGCCATTCCTGCCTCTTACTTTGCTCCAACCTCAGCCCAGTCCATCCTCCATTAAAACCAATGGCAAGAGTCTCCCTTTGATATAACGTCAGTTGGGCTGGATTTTACACCCAGCAATGCAGTGAGTGATTTTCTTTTTTTCCTTCCAGACCTCTCTGATCTTTTGCCACTTTCCTTTCAGCTTCCTCAGTCCCACAGCTTTTCTTGGAGGTTTTTTTTTTAAAATTTTTAACAGATTCTTGAAGTGCATCTTTCCATTTATTGATTTCACCTGACATCTAAAGGAGGGCAAAGCAGGAGGCTCAACTAACTCTGACATGCCCTCACAGCTCATCAAAGCAAATTTAGAGCCTTGCTAGAGCTGCCAGGGCAGCACAGCCCCTGGGCTGAGACACCGGCCTCATAGGAGGGACACATTCATCTCTTTAGCCAGCAGTTTTTAATTTACATATGCATACATGCTACTGGTTACATCAAGTTATCATTCTTGCCAGAGCATCTTTCTTTTCAATCGTCTCCTGTACACACTGTAATGGTACTTCTGGGAGTGTGGGCACGAGGGTGGGGGAAAAGCAACCACTTGTGATAGCAGGTTTTGATTTTTTTTTTAGAAATTCCTGTTGCAGAGTCACTGCTTAAAATGATCTGGAATAAAAAGAGAAATGGGGGCTGGGGGGAGGAGAAGGCAACTTGCTGGTGGCTGCAGTAGCACAGGGAGCAATGCACACCGCTTCGGGGGCATGAGGCTGCATCAAGCCGCGGTGCTTGCTCTGCCTCAGTTTCCCCATCCTCCTCGTTCAATAGCTTCATGCTGGAGAAGGCTCCATATTTCCCCCAGGACTGCCAGCTGTGTTACATCCACACTTGTGCCCTGTCCCAGAGACAGAAATTCTGGCAGCATTTCTATGAAGTGAGAGGTGAAATAGGCCCCCTCGGACAGTTAATTATCCCTCTCTGCTCCATTCTTCTAGCCTTGCCATAGCATCCGTAACAGTCACTTGACATACAGAAGGCAGCACACAAGGGAGAGAGGCAGACAATGCCATCAAGTGGGACTAAAGGGCACGAGAATGCCAGCGCCCATCTCATTTGCTGCTTGTTTTTTTGGGTGGTTGATGGAGGGGGGTTCCCCTCAAGCCTTGAACACTGCTGGCTCCCAGAGATGAAAGGAATGTATTTTTTTCTCCTCCTTCTCTTCTTCCTCCCATACACAAAGACCAGATAATTTTGCACGAACAAGCCAATTTCATTTGTAACCATGCTGTTGCTTCGTGGTGCAAAGGAAGGACTCGGGATGGGTGGTTCCTGGTGGGAGAGTGTCCGATCCTCCCCGTGACCCCGTGTTACATTTCTGGGAGCAGATTTGGCTCTTCCTTGCCAGAAAGGCTCTTCCGTGGGATGCAAGGTCCCACAGCTGACTGCAGAGCTGTTGGGCTCTTTCAGAAAGAGCAGCATTTCTTTGATACGGTTTTTCCTGCGATGACCTCTTCGGTGGCACTTCCTTAATAACAACACTTGCCATCACAAGAGACTTCCTTTCCCACCGCTGCTGTGGGCTGGGGCGCTCCAAACCCCAGCCAAACCCTGGCCGTTGAGTCTGGAGCAAAAGCAAACTGCATCTGGTTTAAGCTGAGCAAGGCAAAAAGTAACGGAGGGCAGGTTTCTTCTTTGAAGATTGCTCTAAGGTGTTTATTATCCCGTTCAGTGGCAGCTCACCTAGAGCCATGGAAACATCCCGGTGAGCCTCCTTGGATTCTCTAATACCTTCCCCGGGGGCTTTCCTTCCCCACCATTTCTTTGTGTGTATCCCACTGCTTGGACCCGTAGTTTAGACTTGTGGCTCAGATGGTAAAGGTACCTGGAGGCTGGAGCAAGGTGCTCCTCAGCCCAGGCTGTCCGGGGAAGGTGTCTTGGGGTGCAGGGTGGGGGTAAGCAACGCCCTTCTGCATCTGCTGTGTCTCATAACCCCGCTGCAACTTGCAGGCTGTGTAACGGAAAGGTCCTGATAGCTAAAATCACCAGCGTCTTCATGTCTTTGTACCTTTGGGAAGGCCCAGCTCTGTGTAAACAGGCTGCGCGAAACTCCAGCTTCACATTTCTCCTTCATTCCCATCCTTTATCCAGCGGATAGTTCCTGGCCTGCGTGCCCTTTCGGGGCTGTGGCCAGGTCAGTGGGAACGCGGCCAAAGATAAGGGTAAACATCGGCATGCCAGAGGAGGCTCTGCAGCGGCAGCTCCTCCTTCGCTGCCTCTGTGCTGCTGCAAACACGTGGGGAGAGCACTAAGTCAGCCCAGCAGCATGCTGGAGGGGTCCAGGGACATGAGCGATGTCCCCAAGCTGTCACTGCCATGCAGATGCCCCAGCTGCGGGTGTTTCTACATCTCAGGTCTTGGTTGATGGTGGTTTTGCACTTTCAGGCTATATGTCTGCCGTGTTTGCTGGGGTGTTTCCTTACCCGCTCTGCTCGCCCCTCCTGCACCGAGCGAAGCGGTGACTGCCCCAGGAATGGGCTGAGCGTGTGCCCACATCTCAGCCACCCCTAGTTTGCTGGTGCTGCGAGCAGGACATCAGCATTTGGTGAGATCTTTCTCCTTTGCTGCTCATTTGCCTTGGGTTGTTCCCTGCTCCGGCACCGACGAGCTGCGTTGCTGCAAGCTTCAAACGCCTGTGCTGGGCCAAACCTGTTCTCTGCATCCTCCTCAGTTATATTGCAATTGCCATTTCAGGCAGTGCAGAGACTCACTTTTCTGCTGCAGATGAGCTTGAGGTAGATCTGGCCGTGGACTCAGATGGAGAAGGGTGTGCAAGACCATGCAGCTGAGGCGCTGCCTCGATGCAGGGCAGTGCTGACCCTGGCAGCACAGCCATCCTTCCTCTCTATGGCATCAGGCTGGCACACCTTGTTCTGGATGATTATTTCAATCCCCCCAGCTCTGATTGATAGACTGATTATTTAAAAAGTGTCATACTAGGACTGCCAGGGAGAAGGCACTCACCTGGGGTTAAAAGGAGATGAGTCCTGCCCTTAGCACATGACTGGGGCAGGTTTTACTAGAGGCCAGAGAGCACATGGGGCTGATCGCTGTAACCACAGCAGCTTTATTTATCGCTCTGGGTTGTGATGGTGTGAGGCCTGGTGAAGAGCTGCCCTTATCTGCCGACTTCAGCCTCCCTCCGGCAGAGAGCTGGACTAGATTTATGTGGGAAAGCCTTGCAGCAAGTCCATCCACACTGCTTTTAATGCCTTGCACGCTGTGAAGGAGCCCAGGAGGTCCTGAGCAGGACATGGCTTGGTCCAGCTGGGAGCAAAGCAGCAGGTGGATGTCACACAGCAGGCTCACCTTGAGTTTTCTGGACCCAACACCAGGAGCAGCCCCCACCTCTGCGGGAAACACAGCGGCACGGGGCTGCCTCTCCTACGTGAAACAGGCTGTCCCCTCCCAAAAATATTTCTGGAACCACCAATGATGCTTGTCTCACTAATCATCTTGCTGCTTTGAGGCGGTGAGACAACAGCACAAGTTGGCTGAGGCAAAACAGCTGCTTTAACCCATTTCCCATCCCCTGATGGAGCTTGGGGGGGGTGGGGTGGTACCCAGTGTGGGCTGGTGGCAAACTCCACCAGCACGTATCATTGCATCCATTCCTCCAAGCTGAATTTCCAGAAAGACTCAACCCTTGTGTGCTCAGTCTTGTAAGGAGGGAGCCCGATATGTTATTCTGGTTTCTTGACCTAAAGTGATGCTTATTTCCCCAGAGTTGTGCTCTTGCTAAGAACAGGGACTTGAGATTGGGTGGCCTCTCTGTGGACTCTGATCTCCGGGGTTGAGCCAATACCCTGCTTGCCCTGGGAAACTCAAAGTCAAGCTTTTTAAAGGCATCATTGTACCGTCAATACAGAGATATAAAAGCCATAACAAACATGACACCAAAGATCAGTTCCCACACCAGGAGTGTCTGAGGGTTGGGAGACTGTTACTGGGACGTCGTTATGGGACCCCAGCACTAAAGTGCCGACGTCAAGGACTGGCACACCAGGGTGCATCAGGAAATCCCAGAGCAGCACCGCGTGCGTCGCTGGGACCTGTAACCACCTGGTGCTCAGCCCTTGCACAGCATCACCCCCCAGCCTGGCCCTCCGAGGCAGCCGACCCTGCAGCTGCGCCTCTCCCACCCTGGCTGGGTGCTGGAGGGTTTGCTGCAGCGGCTCTGAGGGAAGACAAATCCAAACCATTGCATTACCAAAGTGAAGTCCCCCAAAGCCCATTGGGGTGGGGAAGGGGCCACAACCCCCCCTGTGAGCAGCAGCCCCGTGAGCTACCTCCGGGGGCTTTGGCCAGACACAGGAATAGCCGTCTCGGACACCGCTGCTGGGAAGAAAGTACGGACCTAGAAAAGGCCAGATATGAATATGCATGCATAGCCAAAATGCTCCCTTTGAGGAAAGTCTTCCTCCCCTATTAAGTAATTAAATAAAGCCCCGAGCTCTACTAAAATTAAAATAACAGAATCCATTTATTCTGGCAGGGCCCACTGGTGGCTGCTCTTGCCAAAAACATTTTTGTGGTTCTTGTCTTTTCAAGTGGCTCTTTTGCAATAAAACCCAGATGCCATTAGTCCAGGGAGGCCTCCAGGCAACTGTTTACGTCCATGAAAGATGCCCTTTGTAATTAATGAATCTCCCAAAAGCTGTGGTAGCACATTCCCCGTGGCTCCCAGCGTGTCCCTGCCCGCCGGCCCTGGCAGTGGAGGTGCGTGCTCATTCCTGGGCACCGAAGAAAGCTTTTGTGTTGCAGCCTCGCCACGAAAGGGGTTACTGTCCTCCTTGGGAAGACACAGCGGAGATTTCAACACTTATCAAAACACAAACAGAAGTCAGCTCGCCTTCCCGCTGCCCTCGCCCCGCTGCTGCTTCAGCGGCTGCTGCTCTTGCTCAACAGCAAATTGCAGTTGCAGGAGGCTGTGTTACCGGGGCAGGGATCAGCTGGGGACCGAGCCGGCAGGTGGCGGGGAAGGGGGGGGATTACAACCTGGTTCCTGCGCCCTTTCAGGGGTTCAGGTGCTTCCAGGTGACCCAGTCGTTGCAGGGTTTCCAAACCAGAGGGCAACAACACCTGAGAAATGTGGGCTTGGTGCGCACGGGGGGGGAAAGATGATTCTTGAGACTGTCCTGAGCAAAAAAACATATGAACAGCTGCACTGGGCCAGAGCAAAGAGCCGTCCAGCCCAGTGCTTTCTTCCAGATGGTGGCTGGTATCAGGTATCTACAGAAGAGTGCGCAAAAGCTGGTGGTTTGTAGGGCTCCTTCTCCCATTATCTCCTCCCAGCTGTGGGCAATAGGGGTTGGGGACTCCCTAGGGCTGAAGTGGCTCTGGGACTCTCACATTTCATTGCCACCAACTCATTTTATCCACCATGAATTTGGCCAGCCTGTTTCTGAACCATTTACGCTTTTGGCCTTTGCAGCGTCAGGTGATGGCAAATCCCACTGTAGAATTATGTGTCTGCTCGGCAAAGGCCATCCTCATGCTGGTTTTCAACCCATCTCCATCCTTAGCATCAGCAGTGATTACCTTTATGTCTTCACATCCTTCAGGATGTGCGAGAGCTCTCTCATACCCCTCAGCTTGTTTATTCTCCAGCCTGAATGTCCCTAATTCAGGGATTTTTCCCCTGAACAGAAACCCTCAGCAAAGACCAGCAAACATTTTGCTTCTCTAGGACCATATCTTTGCTCAGCCTCTATGTAATGTGGTTGCAAATGGAAAGAATTGCTTCAGGAAGGGTCAGTCCTCGCTGCCTCATTTGTAACATAACGACTCAGCCTGGGGTTTGGTTGTTATTGGTGTTTTAGCTGTTGTTGGCTTTTCATTGTTGCTTTTTTGATAGATGAGTTTAATTTTGCTGGCATATTGCACAGGTTTGCAAACCAGATGTTGCTGCTGCAAGACTGTAACAGTAACGCAGGCAGGGAGCAGTTCATCACAGCACGTGGGTGTCGCAACCGTGGCGAGGTCAAAGACGAGGGGTCAGGGCGTGAGGGGGATGCAGGTCCCTGCTCCTCGGGACCCGGGGCCGCAGTTGCCATGAGAACTGCTGGTGGCACGGCGGTGAACCAAGCCAGCGCTGCAGCCACCTCCCATCCATCTCCCATTCCCCCGGGGAAGGACCGGACCGTTGGCAGGAGACCAAGCTGCAGAGAGGAAAACTCTGCTGAGAGCCTGGAAGGAGGGATGGGTTTGTGTAACCAAATGATGATGGTGTGAATCACTGGTGTTTTGCAGATGCTCGCTGCTGTCCGGGGGTGATATACGGGGTGATGTGAATGTGAGGGGATGGGAAGTGGTGTGGCAGGCAAGGGGGGGTGAGGAGAGGAGCTGGGAGCACCCAGGAGGAGCAAACGGCTGCTCATATGGCTCCTACACCTTCCTGGCTTGCCGCCTTTAACACGGAGGAGCTCAGGTTATCCTGCGGCCAAATCCTGCAGTCCTTTAGCAAATCATACCCAAGGCCTGGCCCAGGAGGGCTTTGAACTCTCAAGGGGACCACGGAGCAGGATGCACCCTGGCACGAGCCCCAGGCCCCTTCCCGTTCCCGGCTGGGAGAGCTTCCCGAAGCAGCCTGCGTGTAGGATTTCTTTGGGTGGAAGAAGGAAATCGCTGAGGTCAGGGGGCTGATATTGCACATTTTTATGTGACATCAGCTTGCTGCCACCTTGAAAATACCGAAAGATGGAGACTTACATCCTGGCCCTTGAAAATCCCTTGTGCCCTGCAGGAAGGGAGTGTTGTTACTCCAGAAATTCACTGTTATTCCAGGGAATTTAAGCCAATGTGCAGGAAACCCCAGTGTGGGCAGGGAGGAATTTAAAGGGATAGGACATTAGGACTGTAGAGATGTGCTCTGTTCTTACAGTGCCATTGCAAGAAGGGAGGCGGGATGCCCCTCAAGAAGCCCCTTAGAGGCCTTGAATAGGCAAAATAAGTTTATGTCTAATTCTAGGTAAACAGGCAGCCAAAGGAAGTGGGAAATCAGGAGTGTGTTTAGATGCTTTGCGGAATCAGAGCCTCCTGACTGTCCGCGCAAGGGGTAAAGCAAGCTGGGCTGGAGGCGTGAGGCTCAGGAGCATCCTGCCTTTGGTGCCCGGGTCATCCCCGGAGCACTGCCTGCGCTCAGCTCCCCCCACCCCACCCGGGGGCATTCGGCGCTAACGTGTCCCTCTCTCCTCCTCTCTCAGGGACCTCATGCCCAGGACCCTGGAGGGGCAGATCACCATGGAGAAGACCCCCAGCTACTTTGTCACCAAGGAGGCCCCAGCCCGCATCTCCTCCATGTCCAAGGGCACCAAGCTCATTGTGGTGGTGCGGGACCCCGTGACCAGAGCCATCTCGGACTACACCCAGACGCTCTCCAAGAAGCCTGATATCCCCACCTTTGAGAGCCTGACCTTCAAAAACAGGACTACGGGCCTGATCGACACCTCGTGGAGCGCCATCCAGATTGGCATCTACGCCAAGCACCTGGAGAACTGGCTCCTCTACTTCCCCATCGGGCAGATCCTCTTTGTCAGCGGGGAGAGGCTGATCAGCGACCCCGCGGGGGAGCTGGGCAGGGTCCAGGACTTTCTGGGCCTCAAGAGGATCATCACCGACAAACACTTCTACTTCAACAAAACCAAGGGGTTCCCGTGCCTGAAGAAGGCGGAAGGCAGCAGCAAACCCCACTGCCTGGGGAAGACGAAAGGCAGGACCCACCCCGACATAGACCAGGAGGTGGTGCAGAGACTGCGGGACTTCTACCGGCCCTTCAACATGAAGTTCTACCAGATGACGGGGCAGGACTTTGGCTGGGACTGAGGCTGAAAAAAATAATTTAAGAAAAGGAAAATATAATATAATATATATTTTTTTTACATATCAGTAGAGAGGGGGGAAATACAGAAAAAAAAATAGTTGTGCTGAAACATGGTTTGTTCTTTTTTTCTTCTGACACTGCTTTGTTTTCTTTCTTCTCTCAGAGGTGAGGTGATGTGTCCGACCAGAAAAGGAGGCTGTGAACAGCAATCTGGTCCTATGGACATCACCTGCAGCCCAAGGTTTAGCACCGTCTCTGTAAGAAAAAAGCAGGTGCAAAGTTTTATATGTCCTCATGTCCACCTCCAGAAGTGACAGGGGTGCTTGAGGGAGCTCAGAGCCTTCCTGGAAGGTCAGCCAGATTTTGGCTTGCAAATGCCATTTTAGACCAGCCCTCATCACTTTTGACAATGAAACAAAAGAGGCTTAATATCTAATTTGGCTTTCAAAACCTTACCTTAGGGGATTTTTTTATTGCATGAAACCTTTGGTGAAATTTTTGGAATTTATGCAATTTTTGTTTGACTCTTGCCCCCCTCTAAATCAAGCTCTTTTCATCAACCAAACTTATTTTTCATCTTATAGAAGCCAAAACCAATATTCCTTTGTTTTGTTTTGAGACAAAACAATTTTGGTAGCCAAAAGTGAAAGAAAACAAATGATTCTTTTGACTGTATGATGAAAACTGCCAGGTAGTCAAAAGGCCTCATTCACAGGAGTTGGCTCTAAACCAGTGTTCCCCATTGCCAGCAACGTGCACCCCTTTTGCTATGCTGACAGCAGAGCGCTTTTCCCAGGGGGGCCCATCTGAAGGGATTTGGGTGATGGCCAAGGAAGGTCCATACTGAGATGATGCTCCTGGTACACCTGTCTTGAAGGTGATGGGGGACCCACCATCCCACCACTCGTATGTAGGAAGCAAGTTCACAGTGTCTGCTGGATGCTATTTAAGCCATAATGAAGAATGTTTTAAGTTGGGCCAGTCTTAAAACAGTGGAGAAAGGGTTGTTTGGGGGAAAAAAATGAACAAAAATCACGTCCAGAAAGGGAAGAGAATGAGGAGAAGATGACGGAAGTTTTCTTGTCTTTTCCTAAAGGAGAACCGAGGGGGAAGCAGGAGCAAGAGCATTAGTTCTGCAGGGCTTTAAAAATTGTCAGGCAAAACGAATCTCCTGTTTGCAATAACCCGGAGCTTTAAATTCTTTGCTTTGATCCTTATCACCTTTTTTGGCTGGTAGAAATGTCTCAGCAACAGAAATCTATTAGTGAAGCAGGATCTTGTATTACCATGGGCTCATTTACCTGCTGGCTCTTTATCTGCAGCATTTTCTGGACTATCGGAGCACCTAATTATCGCTTGGTGCTGTATAAACACAACACGATGATGCTCCCTCTCCTGAGTCTAACTTTAAAAAGTCCCTGACGGGGTAAAACAAAGTGGGGGATCTGGTTAGGAAGAAGCTTGGGGACCAAGCTTGCTGGCTGCCTACACACCGGCCAAGATCTTAATAAAATCACAGCAGAGCAGAGATTTCAAGGAGTCCAAAGAGAATTGTATCTGAAATTACAGTTTAACACAAGAGGGAGTCATCTCCTCCTTGGGCTGTCCTGCTTGGCAGGTTAGGAGAACAGCTTGGTACCTGCTCAACTTCATGGCAGCAAGTTCCACTGCAGGAGTTGAGCCACATTCCCTCCTGGCTGCCCTGAGCCTCCTCTTTCCTTCCCATCCCTAC